TGAAGATATTCTCAACATAGCCCCCGGGGCGGGGTGGGGATTCCACACACCACAGACCGGAGCCGTGCCTGCTTTTGAACATGTTTAGAGAAGCAAAATCAAAGGGGGGAAAGAAACGTTCACTGTGGCCATCAAAGTGACGGCGTCAGCGACAAACCGTTCATGACGCTCCACGGGTTCTGTGGATCGCTCTCATAACCTGCAGGTGATATTTCTGTCATCAGAAAAAATGCCATCAGTGTGGTAATAAAAACCATCTTTTGGTGGTTTATGAACGAAAGCTTATGAACGAAAGCTTTTCTGAGCAAGTCTATGAGCTCCAGGATTGGCAGCAGGCCCTTGAAATTCGGGCTCCTGGAGCTGGTGGTGCCAGTGATCCCAGGTTTGAGACCCCCTGACGCCCCCTCCCCCCAGACGTTGGTTCCTTCACGTGTCACCAGCCTGTGGTGTGTCTGCCCACAAGCCCCCATTATTAACAAGCCCACGGATGAGCCCAGGGAGCTTGGGGGGGTGGTTCCTTCATTGCATGGCTTTGAGCAAGTCCCCCCCAGAACTGGGCCTCGGTTTACCCCATCCAGACGGAGGCATCAGGCCAGCTCCCTGCAGGTCCAAACCTGGAGGGGCGGCTCCCGCCCACCACTGCCCTCTAGTGGAAAAGCAGAAGCCAGAGCCCAAAGGCCACCTTGATCACTGGTTCTGGGTCCCGGTGGGCCTCACCCCAGGGGGCTGCCCGAGGCCCTGTGGTTATAATCGTTCTTCCATAGATGAGAGCCATGGCTAACCCAGCAAGCGGTGAGCTGGGGTCCGCCTGGCTCTCTCCCCACGCTGGGTCCCCAACACAGTCACACAACGGCACGGCTAACTTAATGATGGATGAGGAGGATACGGCTCGCTTGCAGTGACCTGGCGTTGTCCTCAGCCTGCGCCCACTGTAGTTACTGCTCACGTGGGTCACCTCACCTGACCACACAGTCCCCCTGGAGGTGGGCTTCTGGCCTCACCCTCCTAAGAGTGAGGAGCAGAGAGGGGGTGCAACGAGCCCAAGCTCCCAGCTGGTGAGAGGGGCCAGCACCCAGACGGCCAGGGCTGCCAGCCCCACTGGCAGGACCATGGGCCAGCTTGTGCCCATGGTGTGCTTTTCAGGATGACAGGGTCGTCGGCTGACTGCATCAAGGTAAGGGCCCTGCACTAGCTCTCAGCGGGTGGAGACAGGCGAGGGAGTGATGGGGAAGAGAGAGGAGGGGCTTTCAGCCGGCAGATCTGGCTCGAGTCCCGCCAGCATCAGGTGCCAGGCTGATGTCCCCTCCTGGCCTAAGGGACATGTGTGAAGTCAGGGCAGGAACCGGCCACGCCAGGCTGTGCCAGGACTGAGCAGAGCGACATCTGTGGAGTGGTGGCACCTGCCATCAGAGGCAGAGCAGGTGTCCTTCCCACCTGGATAGCACGAGCCGCCCCTTGGCTGCACCCACCTTGCAGAGGAGGTGGGGTGGGGGTGGAAATAGGTGAATGCACCTGCCTCTGGCCCTTTAGGCTGTATCTTCTTGAGTCAGACCCTTAACCCCATTAAGCTTCTGTTTTTTATCTAAAAAATGGGGCTCATGCATGAGCCAGCTCAGAAGCGATCTCCCCTGGCGAACCTCGGAGGGGACCACAGCCCCAGCGACGGCCTGACTGCAGCCCCACAGGAGCACTCGAGCCACAGAAACTGTGGTAAATGTGTTTCATAAGCCACAAAAATCACAGCCCGCCCCCCCATACCCTGGAAGGGTGCTTAAATGCGGGAAGGCACAGGAAGTGGTTCAGACCACGGCGGTGGCGCCACTGGTCTCTGTGCATCTATTGACTCAGCTATGTGCTGGCTTTCAGTTGGCCCCGGGGGAGGGCACAGCCTCCCCGTGCCTCGGTTTTCTCATCTGTGAAATGGAACCAGCAACCTCAGGGCTGCCGACAGGGTGAACAGAGCAGGGCACAGGCAATGCCCATGGTGGTGGTGGGGGGGGCGCTCGCTGCTCTGGGGCCTCATCACTGTCTGCTCCCTTCCCCCTGTCGCCCTGGAAAGTCAGCTCCGCCTTTGAAGAAAGAAACAGGACGGCCACAGGTCTGTTTGCCCCTGGGTAAAGCAAATGAGAAATGGGACCTGATTTTCTGGAAGGACGAGGAAGAGAGTGACCTCATAAATGCTCTGGCAGGCCCTCTTGGTCCTTACAGTCCACTAAAAAAACACCTGGGAGTAGAAATCCCTTGATCTTGGTGGTGTTCCCAGCTCTGCTGATGGCTGGCTATGTGACCTCGGGCAGGGTGCTCACCCTCTCTGAGCCTGGGTGTCCCCAGCTCTGCCCTAGTTCTCTCCTCCCCACCCCTGCCTGCCCCTGCGAGTCTACCTGGGAGCCCTCGGGCCCCTCATCTGCCTGCTCACCTGAGTCCCAGACTTTTTAAATCAATCAATTATATAAAATCAATTATATAAAACTTGTAGGTCCTGCTCATCAGGGCAGGTCCTGCCTGATTGCTCAGCCTCCTGCAGCTTTCCCTTCTTCTATCTTATTCCCCCTCAACCGCACTGTTATCATCCCCGTTTTATGGATGAGTAAACTGAGGCTTTGAAGGATCAGGAGGCTCATCTGGGTCACACAGCACAGCCGGGGCCCTGGGGGGCTGAGCCCGGGTCTCTGGCGCTCCCAAAGTGCTGCCTCTTCCAGGGACTCAGGAAACCCAGCACAGCGAGGCCACAGGTGAGGCGGGGGCCCGGGAGACCCCGAGAAAGGCAGGGGGGAGAAGAGTCCCTGGGGCATGCTGGCCGCTCTCCCTCGCTCTGGTCCGAATGCCTGGGCCACCTTCGCCAGGCCTCCTGGGACCTCTACTCTCCGCCTTAAGCTCCGAGGGGGCGGGCATGGCCCCCTTGGCTCTGGGCAGCTGTGGGCGGCTCTGGTCCCAGCCGGTAAGCTCTGCGGCAGAAGCCCCTGGTCAATGAGCCACCGGGAGAGACTTCTCAGGAGGGACAGACACAAGCAGGCAGGCGCTTCCGCTCTCCGCCGACCGACCGTCACGCGGAGGATGGGCAGGACCACAGACGCCATGTGCGCCTTGTCTGTGCCAGGCCCCGTGGGGCACCAGGGTGGGCCTGGGTCTCTGGCGCCGGTGCTGTCACCTCCAGAGATGCGACCCCGGGAAGGCCCCTGCCTCCACCAGCCTCAGTTTGTTCGCCTGTGCACCAGGCTCATCACACATAGTGCAGGAATATAAATCAAGGAGCCCAGCGCAGGGAGCGCGCCTGCTTGCTGTCGTTTTCATTACTTTTACAAATTTTACATACAGAAAACAATTCCTTTGCTTCGGTGTACAGTTCTATGAATTTTTACACCACGTGACCACCCCACAAAATCCGAAGTGACTCCATCACCTCTCCAAACCAGGTTCTTCAACCATGGGCTTAGTGTCCGTGCCGGGAGGCGGGCAGCCGTGGCCGGGCCTACACCGCCGGGCAGGTCCATGCGGCCTGCAGGCCACAGGCCGTGCTGATCGCATCCGACTCCGGGGTGCGCGATGAGGACCCTCCTTCACCAACCATAGCTGGTCTCCTTCATGTCCCAGGCCCATGTCTTCAAGAGCGAGGGCCCTGCTAAGTCAGTCATATTCCTCGTACTCCCGGCCCCCAGGTGATGTCTGCCCCCGTCCTGCCTCCAGCAAGGAGCCTATCAGGTCCCTCCACCCACAACCCCCACCCCCCATGGCTGCTCTCAGCACTGCCCACTGCAGAACCCTCCCCTCGGATCCGAGCCGGTGCTGACCCTCTCTCTGTCTCTCAGTCCCTTTGTCTCTCTGGCTCTCTCACTGTCTCTCTGTCTTTGTCTCTGTTTCTGTGTCTCTCTCTGTGTCTGTCTCTCTGTCCCTTTGTCTCTCTGTCTCTGTGTCTGTGTCTGTGTCTCTCACTCTCTGTCCCTTTGTCTCTGTCTGTCTCTCTCTGTCTCTGTGTCTCTCTCTGTGTGTCTCTCTCTGTCTCTCTCTGTGTGTCTCTCTCATTCTGTCTCTTGTTATCTCTCTCACTCTGTCTCTCTCACTCTCTCTGTCTCTCTCTCTCTGTGTCTCTCACTCTGTCCCTGTCTCTCTGTCCCTCTGTCTCTCTGTATCTGTCTCTCTTTGTGTCTGTCTCTGTCTCTCTTTGTGTCTCTCACTCTGTCTCTGTCTCTCTCTGCATCTGTCTCTCTCACACTGTCTCTCTGTCTCTCTGTCCCTCTCTGTCCCCCTATCTCTCACTGTCTCTGTCTCTCTCACTCTGTGTCTCTCATTGTCTCTGTCTCTCTCTGTGTCTGTCTCTCTGTCTCTCTTCATCTCTCTCCCACTGAGTGCAAGAAGCAGAGGGCTTGCTGTTTATAGGGGAGGTGGGGTTACGCACTATCAGCAGCAGGTTCCCAAGCCTCCCCCATTCCTCCCATCCCTCCCTCCCAACAGCCTGCCGTGGGCCCGGGAACAAGAAGCAGCAAGGATCCAGATGCAGAATTCAAACGTCCCCAGAGCAGCGATTCGGGAGGCTCCGCACACCCGCCACCTGCCGCTGCTGCAGGTGCCCGAGGCCGCGGTGGGCGCCCACCTCCCTCCCCCCGGCCACCGCGGGCTCCACGCCCTCTCAGCCCGACTCCCCTGCAGCCCTATTACCCACCCCGACTCACCGCCGTCCCTGGGCATGGGAGAACCGTGAGACGCCCCAGTGATGCCATCCTTGCCCTCTGGACCGCACGGGGCATCCCTGGCTCCTCAGGACGAGGTGCTCCCACCCCGATGAGAGGAACTGCCTGCCGTCTGTCTGTCGGCGGGAGGTGCTCACTAGCAGTCCATGTCAACTTCAACAGGCCTTCTGCTCTGATCCCCGGTGGAAGCGTCACCACCCCCTCTGCCCCCCTGGACCAGGACGGCCGGTCCAGCCGAGACCACAGAGCCGGCAGCATGCACTCTACACGCAGGTCCCCGAGAATGAGGGGCAGGGGCTGGTCACGCTTTCATCCTCGGTCTCCGGCCCCATGCGCTGCCTGTCGGTTCAGGGCACATACTGTATCCTGGGAAAAGGGAAACACAGTGGACGGTCCCACACCAAGGCTTGGATGGGTCATTCTATCAGCTGCAGCTTCCCGGAGATGTAGTTAGTGGCAGAAAAAGCGGATCCTACGGCCTAGGGTTTAGTGTCACACCTTCCTTGCTGCAAGATGGGACTCTTGGTCTGAGCTCTTCCTCAGGAGCCTATATGGACAATGTGGTCAATTATTCATAAATGGAACGCTGACTCTGGTCTGTATGATTTTCTACCCACCGCCTTGGGCGGAGAACTGGGCACCCAGGGAGCACCCATGTAGCACAAATCTCCGTTCTTTTCTCAGTGGGTTCAATTCTAAGGGGTTTCCCTGACATATGGGGGGATAGCCTTTTCTCCCTGAGTCTTGTCTGGAGTAGAGTCGAGAGGTGTCACTTTTCTTTCCAGCTCTGACAAGGGGTCAGGTAAGCCAGAGGCTCTCCGGAATTCCCGAAGCATGGCAGCCAGACCATTGGGCAGGTGAGCGGTGAGGGCCTCCCCGACGATTCTGCCACTTAAGTCAGAACCAATCCAAACACTGTGCCGTCTGGAGCAAGATCCTGTCACCATTCTAAACCTGTTTATTTCAGTGATATCACAAACACTGATGATTTAGGGCCTTGGAGATATTATAAACAACAACAAACTCAAATCTAAGTAGCGCAAACGAAAAGGTCTTCCTTGGCTCTTGGACCTGGATTCCAGAGGTAGGTGGGCCTCAGGATTGACTTGATCCAGGAACTCTGGTCCCACTTCTCCACAGTTGCCTCTGGCTGACTTCCCTTGTGGGGACAGAATTGAAACAGCTGTCACTGGTGCACATCTACCACCACAATATCCGGACCAGGAGAGACGGGGTCTTCAGGAGCTCTGTCCTTAAGGTCAGGAACATCTTTTCCTCCATTCCTCAACAAGGCACTGCTCGCCCACCAGGGGTCTGACCTGGGTCATGTGCCATTCCTACAGAAAGTCCAGTGTCCAGGGAGAGCTGGGTGCTGATTGGTGTAGCTGATCTTCGTCAATCTTAGACCCTTCGGAACCTTCCGAGCAAGGGCCAGCTGCTGGGAAGTCCGTGGGCTGCGTGGGGGAGGAATGGCGTCCTCTGAACAGAAATTCGGGCACTGTGAGAGAGCAGGAGCAAGGGGAAGAGTAGTTAGATAAACCGCAGTCAGGAAACAGAGACTAAGGAGCTCCCGACGGACTGTTGCTCTCTCTGCATGAGCACAGGCTCCATTAGATCACAATCACAAACTGACCTCAACCACCGGTAAGGGGTGGGGTATGGTTAAAGACCTTGCACGAAATTGTCCTTTCCTTTCTGTCCCTTCATGTTGGCTGAAGGCTGAAGGTGCCTGGGTGCTCTTTGCTGGGGCATTGTCTGTCCCCCTCTGTGGGCTGCAGGAAAAGCTGGGAGGGCAGGAATTCAGGGCTCCCTGCTGGTGTGCCTGCAATCTGAGGACTCCCCCACGAGGGTAGGGGGGAGTGGGCAAACAGACTGATGGGCCTCGAGACAGTAAGGCTTCCCCCAGAACAGTATCCTGGGAAGTGGATGCTAGGGTGAAAATTATTAAAAGGGAACCTCCTTTATAATGGGTTTGGGAGCCTTGAACGGGCAGCTCCCAGCCCTGTCACTCCTGCTCAATTGCAGACCCAACAGGAAGAGATGCACCTTGTGAAGGTTTGCTCCCTCCCCAGCAACAGTCCAGCCAATGAGACACTGCCACAGCCCAACCAATGAGACACTGCCACAGCCCAGCCAATGAGAGACTGCCACAGGCCAGCCAATGAGAGACTGCTATAGGCCAGCCAATGAGAAACTGCAATCGCCCAGCCAATGAGAGACTGCTGTAGGCCAGCCAATAAGACACTGTCATAGCCCAACCAATGAGAGATAGCCACAGTCCAGACAGTGCCACTGCCCAACAAATGAGACACGACAGCCCAGCCAATGAGAGACTGCCACAGCCCAACCAGTGAGAAGCCACTATGCTTTGAACTCCTAGTTTCACCCAATGGACTTTCTGTTTACAACAGCCCTTTCCCACCCCACCCCTGCATAAAAGAACTTCCCGTACTTTGTTTCTTAGACTCACATATGGTTTTGTCACGCCTCGTTGTTTCTTGGTTGCGATTCTCTGCTATTCCCAAATAAGCCCATTTTTGCTGCTAAAATAACCTGTAGTTTCACTTTTTAAGGTTATCAGTAGCAATTTTTTTCCATGACATTATGTGTCACTCTTCTGTTACAAAACATGCCTCTTCCTGAGCACAGCTAAGTTCCTTCTAGGAAACACTTGCTCATCACCCACCATGTGCCAGGCCCTCTGTGCGCCAGCCCCACGAGGGGACAGGAAGGAAGGGATGGTGCAGTTTGCTGTGGGTGCGGGTAAACCAGGCTCCTCACCCCACGGGATCTGGAAGGACAGGAGAGCCACACCTCTTCTCAGAAACTGTTTTTAATCCTGTGGTCGGAGAGCGTCATGGAACCGACCGGTTCCTCTCTCGGCTGGGGCTCAGGTGGGGCTGCCCTCAGCTGGTGTCCCCACCCGGGACAGGGGTCAGGGGCGGGGCCTCAGCTCCGAGTTCCTTCTATTCTTCTCTATCTAGTTTCCCTTAACCCCACTTTCTTACTCACTGCTTTCAAATCTTTCTCTATTAAGGTTTTCCCTGAAAGACACCCCAAGTACTATTCAGAACAAGTTAGGGCTCCAGGAACTGGAGTTAAATCAAACACGGTCCCCTACCTGGACTGTCCGGCCCCATCCTTTACCTGTCCTTCCTGGTCCTTGAGATCCCAGATTTTCTCTGAGGATCTTGCAGCATCCAAAGCTCACCATCTTGTGCGGGACACAAGGACACTCATTAGCAATCTCATGTGACCAGACCTATAATCAGGCACTCCCAGCAATCCTGGGAACCCAGATGTGTACCCAGCTCAGCTCAGTGGTCAGGGAGGGCTTCCTGGAGGTGATGCCTGGACTGATTCTTATGGATTGATAGGAGTTGGCCAGACAGAGGAGGAGAGGGAAGCCTTTCAGTGGAGTGATGGGACCTAGGTCCAGAGGTGAGAGGCAATGGGTTGGGAACAGGGCTGGCGGGTGAAGGAGGTGAGGAGTGGAGCATTTGGAGAGCCATGACTCACTGAGGCCCGAGGCAAAGGGGTTGTTCCCTAGGGGGATTAGGTATGCTGTTCCTCAGAAATACAGCCAAGCCCTTTCCCTTCCTGCCCTCCATGATGGTGACAAAATGTCCTTTCCCTGTCACCAGGCTGCCCTGGTGAGGTGACATCCTGAGCTGTCACAACTCCTCCACCCACACCCTCGCTGCTTTTATAAGCTTTGGTTCCTTGATCACTCAGAAAGTATTTAACTGAGCACCAACTATGTGCCAAACATTGTGTTTGGGGCTATAAATGCAACAAACAGGATACACAGTCCCTGTCCTCACAGAGCTTGCGATCTGGTGGAGGAGCGGAGGATATGCCAGGGCAGCCGTGGAGGGTGTATTGAGAATGCTACAGTAAGATCATGAGGATGCTCCAATAAGACCAATAGGAAGCCACAAGTGGAGGCATCCCCAGACGCCTTGGCTGCAGGGGAAGGAATTGAGGGCTGGGGTGGGAGTGGAAGACTAGGAGGGGATGGCTGTGACTGTTCAGGTGAGGGAGGGCTTAAGCCAGGGCCCCACAAGGATCTGGTGTAAGGGGAAGGATTTGGAGGCAGAACAGATATGGGAAGGGCCAGGGAAGGAGGCCCTCAGAAGGATTTGTGGGTGTCAGAGAGCAACAGCATAGTTGGAAGCGCTATTTCTGGAGCTGGGAGGAGGTGGGAGATACTGAGGACCAAGCTCACCTTGGGGCCTGCAGTTGAGGTACCTGGGGCCCCAGAGCTATCACAGAGTCAGAGGCTATGTCAGAGAGTTCTCCAGAGCGACAGAACAAATAGATGGATCGATGGATGGATGGAGGGATGGAGGGATAGAGGGAGGGAAGGGCAGATAGATGGGCAGATGGATGGATGGATGGGTTGATGGATGGATGGGTGGATGGATGATGAATGGATGGATAAAGGATGCGTGGATGGATGGGCGGGTGGACAGATGGGTGGGTGGGTGATGATGGATGGGTTGGCGGATGGATGGACAGATGGATGGGTCAGTGGATGGATGATACTAGGGAACACGGCTGGGCTGAGTTGATCCATGAAACTGACCATCAGAGAAGTGGGTGGGTGTGACTTTGCCTGGGGAGGGAGGAAGGGCACAGTGAGGAGGGGGTGTCCTGAGACTCTCCAAGAGGGGGTCAGGGAGGGATAAACCAGTGATTGGGACTGGGAGGAGTGAGCGCAGGAGACAATGGAGTGTTCAGGAAAGGTGGCTGATGAGGGACCTGCAGAGATAGCAGATCAGGTATCAGCAGAGACAGAGCCTCAGTGGGGGGTCCTCGGTGTGTGACTGAGAGCGGCTGGGTGGGGGTGGGAGGTGGTTTTTGAGTGAACGGGAGGTGAGGTGGTGCAGACAGCAAGTGTAGACACTTCTTCCAAGAAACATGACTAAGAAGATCATGCGGTGGCAGGCAAGGGTCGTGTGGGGGGCTTTTGTTTGTACTGTGAAGATACCAGAACATGCATCTTTCAGCATTCCGCCAGCCAGTGGTGTTTGGCATTGCCATCGAACCACACAGTCCTGTGTCTGCTCACATCGGCTTCATCAGAGCCCTGAAAAAATTCTAGTGGTGTGTGTCCTGTGCTGGTCGTTGGAGGGACCCACGTTTGGCCTCAGCCAAGCCTGTCCTCACTGGGTGACTTCCGCACATCGCTCAGGCTTGGCGACCCAAGGCCCCCCGTGTGTAACACAGCGTGGTGCTCAGTGTAGGGCTGGAAAGGGGTGCTAGAGCCAGAGGTGGTGAGAGCAAAAGACTTGGTAACCCTGCAGGAGGTGAGGCAATGACTAGTGTCCCTCAAAGCCCGCGCACCTGGCGTTAAGAGGTGATGAGTGTCTGGCTTTGACGGGCCTGGGGTCAGTGGTGACGTGGGACCAGAGGCTAGGAGGTGCTGCGTGAAGCTTCAGACAGGAGCCTTCCACTGCCTAAAACAAGAGCTGGTCTCCCTGTCTGTCCCCTGCGTGTCCGGGTGCCCACCTTGTCATCAGCAAGCTGGAAATGGCAGTGGACTCCGACCTGCTGGGACCTGGCTCCCAGGGTGACCCATTCCTCTTGTTCCTCTGAGTCCCAGTTTCCTCCTCTCCCACTGGGAGGCCTTAGACCCGAAGCTCTCTTCCCAGGCCCTCATGGGGCATGATGCTGGGCTTTATGGGGCCCCCCAAAGAGATGCTCAAGTCCCAACCCTCAGGACCCTTGAGGTGAGCTTATTTGGGAACAGGGTCTTCATAGGTGTGACTAGATGAAGCCATGTTGGAGTTGGGCCCTAAACCCAAGGACTAGTGTCCTTACAGGAAGAGGAGAGACACACAGGGAGGCAAGATTGGAGTGGGGCCACCATAGCCCAAGGGCGCCAGGGATTGATCACTGGGAGCCCCCAGGAGCTGGGAGAAGTGCAAGGAAGGACCCTCCCTGAGAATTGGGAGCATCTCAGACATCTGGCCTCTAGGACAGTGGGAGGACAAATCTCTGTTGTTTATTTATTTTTAAAGATTTATTTATTTATTTTGGGGAGGGTGGGAGAGGGTGTGCACGCATGAGTAGGGAGAGGGGTAGAGGGAGAGAATCTCGAGCAGATTCCCTCCCAGCTGAGCTCAGAGCCTGACCTGGGGCTCGATCTCAGGACCCCAAGATCACGACCTGAGCTGAAATCAAGAGTTGGACACTTCGCTGACTGAGCCGCCCAGCACCCCACAATTTCTGTTGTTGAAATGGCTACTTTGTAGTACTTTGTTACACAGTCACAGGACTGGGTGCTTTCCAGCCGCACACTCCCCTTACTCCCCGGGGCCCGGACCAGCTCTTCTGCTCTCTGGCCTCAAGCACAGGACCCCGCATACTGTAGGTGCTCAGTCAACGTGTCACCCTGCCTCTGAGCTCGCTCTTCTCTCTCTCTCTCTCTCTCACTCCTGACTTTCCTCGTCTGGGTCGGCTGCACAAGCACATGAATTTAATTCAAGGAAAGGCTTTTGATTGGCAGGTCTTGCACGGAGTCATTTCCAGAATTAGGCCCATGTCTCCTACTTCCTTCCATCACCACGACCAACCAGCTCTCAAGACTTTTCCGTGACGGCAGAACACTGCCCGGTGTACCAAAGCACTCAGAGTGAACGGGGCAGATGGAAGTGCGGGATGACGCCCCGCTGCAGACGAGCAGGGCACCTGTGACCCACGCCAGCACAAGTCCCCTTGCCACCTGCCCTGGGACCTCAGGTGAGCCATATGTGTGTGATGGCGGGGTCGGGCTGGCCAGTCCAGGTGTGTGGATGTGCATTTGAGAGAGCAAGGCTCCAAGATGTGAGTCACATGTTATTTTTACTCTGGGTTTCATCTGGCATGCTTTTAAAGTATTGGGTATTTGGAAAGAGCCCACAATGAAATCATATTTCATTTGTTTCCCCACTTGGCTGTGGAGGAAATCAATTCTCAGGCTGTATTTGGAGGTGGAGGAAGGACAGAGAACCTACAGCTTTGG